TGACTTAAATATTTAATGAACGTGATCGGAGTACAATATGTATTGCTAAATAATAATAAAATAAATGTAGTTACCACATTAAAAGAAGTACTCCAATACTTGTACTCCAAAGCTGCCAAAGGTTAACAAAATATAACTTTTGAACCAATCTCGTCTAACATTTAAAGTTATTACATTTCGTCTCACATTTACTGAATACTATATAGAAATTTTGTCATCTACTAATGTCGTTTAACATTTGTTAGAATTCGTCTAGCATTTAAAATCATTACATTTCGTCTTACATTTACTGAACACTCCATAAAAATTTTTCATTATCAAACTATACGAAGCAAATTAAAAAAGGAATGCTTTAGACGAACTTCAATCTAATAAAATCACATGTACGAACTGGAGTACTTTTCATATACATCTACCTCGATTTTATGTAAACGTACTTATTGCTCTCATTAAATTTATTCGGAACAATGATAATAAAAGAGGAGACGCGAAAGAGGAAACTTTAGAATACCTCAACTTTCGTTTTAATTATTTCAGTTTAATCTATTTAATCCGGATCACGTTTACTACTTCACTGCAATTTATTTTGTGTTATCTGTATAAGTGTACATGTTTCCAGAATTAAATAGTTAACTTTAGCAAACGAATGAGTTTAGAAACATTTAATAATGTAGTTAGGATTGTAGTTTCTACTTTTCGAAATTTTGTAATATAATCGGGGAAAATTGCTGTTTTTGGGGGAAAAATATGGTAATTATGAGAAGAAGGATTTGTTTTTCTGATGTTCGGGGATTTTTGAAGGTTAATTCAAACCCTAAAAGTTTGGTGTGAATTAAGAATTTGGGATTTAGACATTTAGATATTAGACATTTCGATAGTAGACTACAGAGATTTGGGGATCTAGCAATTTTACGACCTTGAAATTTGGAGAACTAGAGATTTCGGTGCACAATGAATTTGCAGATTTTAGAACACAAGGATACAAATATTTGGAAATTCTGAGATTCGAAAATTTTAGTATTTGAGGATCCAGAAATATGGAAATCTAGAAATTTGGGAATTTAGAGATTAAGAGGTCTAGATAGAGAACTTAAAAATTAAGAGGTTTAGAAATTTGAAGACCTTGGGATTTGGGGAACTAGGGATTTTGGTGCATATGGAACTTGAAAATTTTAGGACCCAAGGATACAAATATTTTCAAATTCTGGAATTTGGAAATTTTAGTATTTTAGGGATCCAAGAATATGGAAATTTAGAAATCTAGAAATATGGGAATATGGACATCTAGAAACTTGGAAATCTAGGGATTAAGAGGCCCAGAAATTTCCGAACTTAGGAATTAGGAGATTTAGGGATTTCTAATCTTTGGAATTTGAGGAATCTAATGTTTTTAAATTGAGACACCTGAAAATTTCAAGATTTAGAAATTAAATATGGTAATCTAGGGAGTTGGTGATCTAGAAATTTAGGACCTAGGAATTCAGGAATCTAGGTTTTTTAAAATGATAAAATTTTGAAAATCGGGTATTTAGAAATGTATTTGGAAAATTTAAAAACTTGAGAATTTAGAAAATTGAAGAAATTTAAGAAATTACAGAAATTTAAGAAATTTAGGAATTCGAAATTTGAAGATCTGAATATGTAGAAATTAAAGAAGTTGAGGATTAAAAAGTCTAGTAAATCAGAAATTTGAAGATTAGAAAATCAATTACTTGAAAAAAGAACTGTTCAACAGAATTTTAAAAGAGGTTACATATTTTTTATTAAGATCAAAATTTTATATACATATTAAAAAACATATTAGTATTAGTTTACTCATGAAAATTATTTAATAACTAAACTCAGAGTTCTAAATAAACTTTGTACATTCTGTTTATTATCTAATTCACTGAAACTTATTTCGTATATACCATTTTCATTATTTCATTTTTAACTTCTTACTAAATCTTCCGTCATTAAATTTCGTTCAAATAGATCATTATAATTGCACAATTTAATATTTCTGCCTGCAACATGTATTTATCTGATAACCATTAACATTTCTTTATAAGATCAGTTTAATTGACTTAGAATTCCTGAAAATAAATTGAATTCACCGTTAGAAATTATCAAGCAGAAAATTTTTGTATTTTCCTCATACACTGTATATTTGATATTGTTCTAATAAAACCGTAACTAGGTAATTTAGGTCAAAATTAGAGCGTAGCTACTCGTTTAATTAAATACACCGTGTATTTCTCGTATATTTTAATTATTAATAACTAGCTAATGAAACTGCAGCGCGGAAGTAAACCGCAGTGCAGTTGAATTAATAAAAGTATCGTTAAACGGAAGAAAAGAAAAATGGCCGGAAGGGTCAAACGAAGCGACCGTCATCGTAAAGTTCGTTTAATTATCCCCCAGTGATGTTCTTGCATCATGGTATAAATTACTATTTGCGGCTTTCAGGTCTGTTGACCAGACACACTGTATATATACATGTTGTAACAATGCCACCTGTTTCAACACTCTACCCAAATATACATATACTTACACGTATAACCTATATAATGTAATTTACACACGTTTTAGTTTACTTGCTTAATTACTGTCTAATAATGTTGGAACAGTTCGAGTACGTTTCTTGAGATATAAATAGGAGAAATTTACTTATTGCAGGACGACAAACTTTCAACTTCTTAAACTTCAAAATTTTTTAAATTTCTAAAATCTAAATTCTTACAGTTGGATATTTCTGAATTTCTAAATTCTTAAAGTTGGATATTTCTGAATTTCTAAATTCTTTAAGTTGAGATACTCCTGAATTTTTAAATTCTTAAAGTTGAGATATTTCTGAATTTCTAAATTCTTAAAGTTGAGATACTTTTAAATTTCTTAAGATGAAAAATATGTAATTTTCAACATTTTTACAAAATAATATTTTAGAATCTACGAACTCTTCAATTTTTAAATTCCTAAATTACCTAATTTTTATATTTGAAAATTTGAAAATTTCAAATTTGAGGGTTTATACATTTCTGCTTCTGGATTTATGCATTTTTTAATTTTCATTTTCTAAACTTTCCATATTTCTAATTTTAAAATTACCACATTTGAAAATTCGATATTTTGAAATCTTTAAATATTCAATTTTTTAAATTTCCAAATATGAAAATTAATGAACAAATTACTTTTTCAAATTCGCAGTGTCAACATTTTTCAAATTTAGATATTTCTGAATTTGGAAATCTGATATTTCTAAATCTCCAAATTCCTAAATTCTTAAATTCCAAATTCCTAAATTCTTAAATTCCAAATTCCAAAATTCCAAAATTCCAAAATTCCAAAATTCCAAAATTCTAAAATTCCTAAAATTCTAAATTTCTAAATTCCTAAATCCCCAAATTCCTAAATCTCTAAATTTCTGAATTCCTAAATTCCTAAATTAAGTTTGAAATTTAAGAGCTTAATATTTTTAAATTTCAAACTCACCACATTACCCCATTTTCGAAATCTAAATATTTTAAAATCCGAAAATTAAAAATTCATTTTCCAGTCGTCCAATTACTTAAATTTGTAATTCTATAAATTTGTAAGTTTGAGAATTTCATATCTGTGAAATTTTAAATTTCCAGAATACTAATTTTCTACACTACTAAATTTATAACTTTTCTCAAACTACGAATTTAAAGATTGCCAAATTTACAAATTATTTCAAATTACCAAATTTCCAATTTTTCAAATTATCACAAATGACGAATTCACAAATTGCCAAATTTACAATCTCAAATTACCAAAACTTTAAAAATTGTCTCAAATTATCGAATTTCTTTTCTTTCCTAAATTGCCAACTGTTCAATTTTTCAAACGTGTGCACTGACTCTTCTAAATTTCCCAGTGTCCGAATAACTTTTCTAAAGTTGAAAATGTCGCTGCCCAAGAGTACGTTGTTGCCCGCGAGGCAATTAACGGACACTAAAGGTATGCATCACTATTCTAATAATAGTTTCATAACCCTTTTAACCCCTTAACCTACAATTTTCTAGGTAGTTGCGTCCACAGTTAACCAATTATTGTTATAATCAAACAAATAAAGAAGGTTAAAATATTAGACACATTTCTCATTGAATTCACAATTTTAGAGTTTATATTTAAGTCTAAATAAAAAATTCAGAGTAAAAATACGAGTTTGGTTTACCATATGTATCGTGCGTTACGAGTGTAACACAATACAACCTGTTTTTAATTTGGTGATGCAACTCAAAAACGGATAAATTTACGTGAAAAAATAAAGCAAAAATATAGCATAAAATTTGTTCATACGTAGCTTCATTTTTGAAATAATTGAATTTGAACAGTTTTTAAGATTTGAAGTATTTGTACAATTTTTTTATGGCTCACAATATGACAAATGCATCTTTCATTAATCTGAGAATGAATTTAATAAATTGATCTAAATGAACTCATTAAATGAACAAATCTAGTTATTGATATCACCAGAGTCATTATCAGTTTATCAGTCATTTTTCATAATATCATTGATATATGTATTAATATGTGTATAAGTAATATGTGTTATAAGCAATCAACATAAACATACTTTAGTGATATAAATAATCACATTAATATTTGGTTTATCATTAATATTTGTTGACTGTAGAATTAACAGCTAATCTGTCGATTTTAATATTCTCCAAGTTGTAAACAAACTTTTTTACAAATACTTGAAAAATGTTCAAATTCAATTTTGTTTTCTCAAAAATGGAACTTCACAAGAAACAATTTTATTTTACATTTCTGATTTAGATTTTCATGGGGATTCACCATCTTTTCGATTGTACCGCCATTTTGAAAACACCTTGTGCAATAAAGGGTTAACAAACATTTGCGTTAATCTATTTTATTTTATTTTACATTTTTGATTTGGATCTTAACGGAGATTCGCCATTTCTCGTATCGCCATTTTGAAAACACCTTGTGCAATAAAGCGTTAATAAACATTTGCGTTAATCTGTTTACAGCCACGACAGCACGAGACAGGCGGCAAATATGGTAACGGTGTTATAGTAAGAAAATATCGAACCGGATCAGTGATACCGGTGCACGTGGAGTTGACAGCGAATCATCACGGTTATTTCGAATTTCGTACCTGTTCGATGACCTACAAAGACAAAGAAGTCGATCAAGAATGTTTGGACCAGCATTTACTTCACATGGAAAATGGAACGGCCAGATATTATCCTGGACCAGGGAACAAGGTTTTCGAGGCTTTTTACAAATTACCGGATGACCTGACTTGCGCCCAATGCGTTTTCCAATGGAAATACGTGGCTGGGAATAATTGGGGCGATTGCGGAAACGGGACAGGTACTGTATGCAACATTTAACTATATTGTATTTAGTATATTTAGTATACTAAATTTACTGTGTTTACTATACTATGTTCACTGTTTACTTTATTTACTATACTATGTTTACTACATTTAGTATACTAAATATCTATTATACAGAGTGGCCCATTTAAATTAACATTGTAAAAAATCTCGAAGATGTATGATTTAAGAAAGATAAACTGACACGTGTACTTTAGTGTTTCGAAAGGGGAGTCAAATGACATTACTAATTTTTTAATGCATGGGCGTTTTTAAGATTATTTCAACTTTATCTTGTCTTTTTTATCATAAATCCATATTTTTTATTCTGGGATCAATATTGAACTCAGAACAAAATTTTTTAAAATGACGACGTTACTTTCTTCTACAAAGTTTTTTATTTCATTTAAGAACATTACAACAAGTGCTCGAAATTTTTATCCTCAACTTCTAGATGCTTATTAATTCGTTTAATAAAGGACTCATGAACAGATAATAAAGTTCTTGTCGTGAAGTTAAACAATTTTTAAAACCTCAAAATTTCAAGTTCAAGATTCCTAATTTTTCAAATCCCAAACTATGTTTATAAAGAAATTCGTAAAATCCATTCTGATTCTTCCAGAATTTGTTAGACCTTGTTTGTCCCTTTCATTGATTACTACGGTTAGGTTAATAAAAAAGACTTCATAAATAACAAACAATTTTTCATTTTTACTACTTTGTGGCTTCATAAAATAAAATTGTTCATTAATTGTTAATATTTTTGTTCATATTTTTGATATACGTTGAAAACTGTAGAAGCTGCATAAAAATTGTTTTAACTAAAATTTAAACCAAAAAACTGTGCAATAAAATATTTGTCCACTTATTTATGGAAGTTACAACAATAATTCATGTGATTATTAGTTGCAACAAAAATTTAAAGATTTTTTCTTCATAAACTGTATAATAAATGTACGTGTCCATGTAATTATTACGTGTTCATTTTATTCTGCTGGAATTAAATATTTAAAAGATACATACAGATATTTGATAATGCGTCGTTTAAAATGTAAGCGCCCCAGATACATGGGTCGGTAAAATTATCAGGTTACTGCATCGAGTTTAATACGCATATTTGCATTTATAATAAAATAGTGTATATTTTTTAGCTTCGTAAAGCAGATAAAAATGTTTTCAAACGAGACTGATGAAGTGGGAGTATGTAAACAAGTTTTTAACTTGGATAAGATAAATCGTTCAGTTTTTAATATAGCGATTTGTTTGTACATATAAGCTTTTGGGAAATGTATACAGAAAAATAGGAAAACGTTCACTAAATCTACCGGCATATAATGTGCTTAATTTGAAATTAAAAATGAAGTTAAAAAATAAATAAACAAACGACGAAACATAAATTAGTACACGCATTCATTCTTTATCTTGATGAAAATCAATTCTGATTTCAAAAAATGTATTTTAACAAAATGTGTTCCTTATAATAAGAAACTTGTGGAGTCATTTGACCGGTTTGGTAGTTTTAGTGTTAAGGGATGTTTTTGCTGGAAGAATCAAAAAGCAGCGAAAGATAGATGTGTTAAACAAAGCAAAGTTTCTTGATAAATTCTAAAAGAATTGGAGTGTTTAAGTTATCAAGCTAAATATCAAATGTTGATTATTAAATATCAAACACCACTTAACTTCTTGGTCTATAACATCGAGTCCAACTAGTGACGCACGTTACAATTGAAATGGGACAAAACTAAATCGTATTTGAATAAAGATCGAGTTTAAGTATGATACCAATTGCAATTTGTATAATTAACACTAAACCTACCGATGTATATGTCCTTAATTTGAGGTGAAACATGGAATTAAAAAATAAATGAACAAACGACAAAACATAAATTAGTACATACATTAATTCTTCATCTTGATGAAGATCAATACAGATATCAGAAGAATGAATTCAACAAATTGTGTTATTTATAATAAGGATCTCGTGGAACGGTTATTTGATCGGTTTGGTAGTTTTAGTGTTAAAGAACGCTAAATGCAAAATGTATCTAACATTTTCAATATTCTTTATTTACCTTAACGCTGCAGTAATAATTAGATAGCTCTGACGCACCTCCCTAAAAAGTGGGTTAAGGGGTTAACACTGTAAATGGCAAACGAGAAAATAAAAGGATTAAACTATAAAAATAATGTCAGGATTTAATAACTTTCGAAATACATTGGCGAAATCACAATAACGAATCTATACTTATTTATAACCAAAAATCCTCGCAACCAATTCGTATGCTTGCTACATTGGCGCTTGCCCAAAAACCTCCTCGAAGCCCAATCGATGTACAGAATCGATATACAATCATGCTTATACAAATACATTCGTCATACCAAATGTCCAAAGTAAAAGATACATAATCATGTTTATACAGAAAATGTTTACATTTAGTATTGCATTTAATTATATTCTTTAATGAAGAAAAAATTAAAAGCCTGCGAAAGTAAAATACCTTGTCGAATAACAATATGATATACTAATCAAGTTTATTGCTTTCCAATAATGTACATACAGTGAGAAACTCCATTAACCAATTATATTTGTTTTGACGTTCGTTTTATTGATTACTACGATTTCTTGTAATTATATAAATGGAAATTAATTATTTTCTGTCATTTTACGTTACTTCTTCATTTGAACAAATTATCGTATATTCTTTGACGAATAGAAATGATGTGAAGATTTAATACTTCCTGTAATATAATAAATAAAGAAATAAATAATTCTGAGATTGCTAATGGGTATGATTTTTCTGATTATCGGATATTAAAGATATTCTAGCATGATTGATACTATAATATTTTGAATCTCAAAAAAGGATATTCAATAAATTATAATTGCGATCAACGAAGCATCAAAAAGTATTTGAAACGTTTGTTTATGGTACAACTAATAGAAAATAAATAATACTTTCGTTTGTACTAAAAAAATAAATTATACTTTCATGTTTATTTAAGAGTTATGTTGATTATTAAATATTAAAAATATTCCAACTTTATTTTTTTGAATTTCGAAAAATAATATTCGATAAATTATAATTATCTATCAACGAAGCGTTCAGAAGTCTTCGAAAACTTCGAAATGACGCCATTTTGGCGAGAGATAAGAATAACTTAGTTCTGTTCTGATTACAATCATGTTGATATTTTACATTATATTGGTGGAAAATAGTATCAAATTAATATAAAAAATACGTATAATTGTAGTAAAAATAGTGTCTAATAATTAAGAAAGGAATGCAGATATAAATATTAGTAATTAATCAGTAATAATTGAATAACTGAGCACAAGTCTAATTCGTAATTACATGCCAAGGAGTTAATAGGGTCTACAGTTTACAACGTATGTAAAAAGTCATTTAAAAAAGTTTACTAAAAATAAACCATAATTTTGACACAATCCAAAGAAGCAGTTTTTTTGGAACAATTATTTTGTTTATGGAAGAGGCTTATAGGAGAATATAATCTCGGTAAAAATATACAGATTGATAATTGATAGGATTATTCTCGAATGAACTCATTACAAACCGAAATATCGTTTATTTTTTAAAATATGTTTCAAATACTTTTTTATGCCACTGTATACAGTACATCTACAGTAAAATGTCGATTATTTATGCTGGGGAAATAAAATCGATGTGGTAAGCGGTTTTTCGAATAATCGGTTTATAACCAAATTTGTAAATATGTCATGAAACCATGTGAAATAAAACAATTTTTAAATATGAATTTATTGATCAGAGTGTGAGCAGTGTTCAATAGCGAAACATATTTCCGATGAAATAACGTGCTAATACTCATAGTCAATTGTCAGAATGATTTATTGCATGACAAGATACGTAATAACCGATTTAGGATAACTGTATCTAATATTAATCTAATTATAACCCGATATTAGTATTAATTATATCTAATTTTGAAAGAGCTATTTAGCAAAAAATAGCGGCATGTCTTTCGAAAGAAACTAACGTTAAAACGTACATAAATATTTGTCTGTTAACGTTAACGATACAAAAATTTAAGAGTTTTTAAGTTACAATGGAAACTGTAAAAGTAGTTGAAGACTGAATTAGAAAAATGGTACATAATATGAATTACGTAAAAAATTTGTAACTTGAAAAAACTTAAGATGAGAAAACTTCAGTTTTATTACGAAACATGAATATTTATTTAAACAAAAACAGACGCGTTAAGACTTTTCCCTGATATTATCATTTATATATTTTTTCCGTTGTAATCACTTACATATAATATTTTCTCTGTTATGATTATTGCAATATACTTCGAATAGTAAAAATATTTTGTGTAATATCATGCAGTATTAACAGGAAACATGTACCGAATATGGAACATGCTGCATTTAACGTACGCTTAACGTGTTCCACATGGCGTACATATAGGGTGTCCCAGATTTTACCACCAAACTTTACTTGCAATTTCACATACAAAAATACGAAAAATTATTGCAGTAATATTATATTATTTTGAGGTCTAAAATTGATAAGCTGCGGCAATCTTTTTTTATCTCATGGTGCATTGAACAAGAGTACATTATGTCGGATCAGATACATTTTCATATGAATAATTTTATATTACACTTCCTACAGTTGGTTTACCAGATGAATTGCTCATTCTCTGTTATGACAAATGCACAAGGAATATAATTTCTGAAAAAGCTCTGCAATAGTTAAATGTTATTCAATGAGTCAAATTTCAAGAATTAATTCACTGTGAAATTTCACTACTATTTCCTAATTTAGACGACAGTTTTTAAATATTCCAATTATTACCAAAAGTAAATCTGATTATTGACATTAGCCTTTTTTCAAAAATAAACACGCAAATTTCATGAACATTCTCTTATTGAGTCTTGCAAGCGACATTTATTTTTAACCCTGCTAAGCAGATAAACCGACTAATAAAATCCCATTGACTCACTCGCTAACTCGT